TACAGCCTTGTCTGCAGCGATTCTTGCGTTTGTGGGACTTGATCATCAGTGGAACACGGTCTTCCTTATGGATCAGGTCCAGCTCCGCCCACATCCAGCTTTCCTGCCGAAGGTAGTTTCAGCTTTTCACATAGACCAGGATATTTTCCTTCTGGTCCTCTGTCCTAAGCCCCATTCCTCCAATGAGGAACGGCACCTGCATATGCTAGATGTGTGCAGAGCGCTGGCTTTTTACCTAGACAGAACCGGGTCATTTAGGAAATCCCCCCCCCCCAGCTGTTTATTGCTTCGGCCAAGCGCATGAGGGGGCGACCGGTCTCCACCCAGCGGATTTCCCGCTGGATCACCTCGTGCATACGCACACGTTACGACCTGGCAGGGGTTCCCCCGCCTCCTGTAGTGAAGGCTCATTCGACGAGAGCTCAGGCCTCCTCGGCTGCCTACGTGGCTCATGTCCCTATTCAGGACATCTGCAGGGCTGCTACGTGGTCCTCTGTCCACACCTTCTCATCACACTATGCGATCGTCTCCCAAACGAGGGATGACGCTGGGTTTGGTAGGGCGGTGCTCCGCCCAGGTAACCCTTAAAACTCCTACCCACCTCCATCAGGTATAGCTTGGAGTCGCCTACAGGGGAATACACAGGAGCAATCACTCGAAGAAGAAAGGACAGTTACCTGTTCCGTAACTGGCGTTCTTCGAGATGTGTTGCTCAGGTGTATTCCACGTCCCACCCTCCTTCCCCTCTGTCGGAGTTGTCCAGCAAGAAGGAACCGAGGATGGAGGGAGCCCGTAGCTCCCCTTATAGCGCGATATACAGGCGCCACTCCAGGGGTTGCAGCGGTGCTCCCTCACTACGGGTACTGCTAAGGGAAAAACGTCCGGCACTGGTGCACGTGGCGAGCACACACACCTACTGTGGAATACACCCGAGCAACACATCTCGAAGAACGCCAGTTACGGAACAGGTAACTGTCCTATCCCACATCTCGGAAAGGAAAACACAAAGATTTCCGTTGCTCCTATGCACCCCTGCCTCGTCCCCTCACCTAACTAGACCCAGTAACACCTCATGCCACTCTTGCCTGTCTGCCTTTCTTATGCTCACCCCAACCTCCTGCTTCTTGCCCACCTCATTCTCTAACTCCCCCCTGAAATTCACCAGGTTTGTGTTAGTTTCCCACCTAGACACTATGGTGCATGGTGTCCTGGGAATAGATGGCAAGGGATCCAGGTCTGTGTTGTCCCCTTGCCAGCACCTGTCTGAATAGTCCTCTCTGACTGTGTGGGAGAGATTGCGGGGCCACACTGTGCAAGTACACAAAAGCTTCTACATTAAAACACATAACTAGCTGCAGCCTAAGTAACATTTCTGCTGGCAGGGTAGCAGGATTCTGGCATGTGGCTCCTGCAAGCTGCAGCCGCTAGAGGGCCCCATGGTCTCCCCCTTATGTACTCCAACGCGGTGTAGAGTTGATGGCTGGGCCTCAGGGGAGCTGGGCCTCTTGCTGCCCTCAGCCCCTTTGAAATCTGTGCCACACTGCTGCCATTGTTGCAGCAGGACAAGCAGCCCAGCCCCGTACGACTAGGGTTGCCAACTTTCTAACTGCAGAAAACCGAACACCCTTGCCCTGCCCCACCCCTTCCCCCCGAGGCCCTGCCCCTTCCCTGCTCCTTCTCCAAGGGCCCACCCCCGCTCACTCCATCCCCCCTCCCTCTGTCGCTTGCTCTCCCCCATCCTTGCTCACTCGCTCATTTTCACCAGGCTGGGGTAGAGGGTTGGGGGCAGGAGGGGTTTGGAGGGTGGGGTCGAGGGGTTTGGAGTGTAGGAGGGGGCTCTGGGTTGGGGAAGGGGATTGGGGTGTGGGAGGGGGTGAAGGCTCTAGCTGGGGGTGCAGGCTTTGGGGTGGGGCTGGGGATGAAGGGCCTGGGGTGCAGCAGGGGGCTCCCGGGTAGAGCCGAGGAGTTCAGAGTGTGGGAGGGGACTCAGGGATGGGGCAGGATGTTGGGACGCGGGAGGGTGTTCGGGGTGCGGGCTCCAGGCGGTGCTGACCTCAGACAGCTCCTGGGAAGTGGCGACATGTCCCTCCAGCTCCTGGATGGCCAAGGGGCTCCATGTGCCACCCCCCCCCAGGCACTGCCCCCACGGCTCCCATTGGCTGCAGATCTTGGCTGCAGATCTTGGCCAATGGGAGTTCTGGAGCTGGCACTCAGGGTGGCGCCTGCGGGCGGGGGCAGGACACGGAGCCCCCCTGGCTGCACCTCTGCCTAGGGGCCGGAGGGACATGCCGGCTGCATCCTGGGAGCTGGGCACAGAGCCTGCCTGCCCCGTTGGCATTGCAGCCAACCAGACTTTTAGCGTCCCGATCAGCTGTGCTGACCGGAGCTGCCAGGATCCCTTTTCAACTGGGACTTCCGGTCAAAAACCAGACGCCTGGTAACCCTATGTGCGACCTACACTGCTGTTACTGTAACAGGGCGAGCGGCCCAGCCCCATCAGGACCAGTGCTGTCACTGCCGCAGCAGGGCAAGCAAGCCAGCCCCATGGGACCTGCGCTGTCATTGCTGCAGAGGGCCATGTGAGGAGAGGCAGATGTGCAGTGAGATCCTCATTGGGTGGGGCTTCAGGAGAAGGGTGCAGTTAGTGCCTTTTCTGCTCAGCAAACTCAAATAAGCTTCAGACAGCAATGAGAAAAAAACTGTCTCCCCATGCCTGGATTTCCCATGTGACCATGATAGTAATGTTCTGTGTGTCTCCTTACAGGAAGCCAGCTACAAGAATCACAGAGTGAATAAAGTTTTGTTTCTAGGAAACATGAAAAAGCTGCTCTCTACTGGAACATCCCGCTGGAATAACAGGCAAATTGCACTATGGGAGCAGGTGAGTCAGAGCCAGCAATCCAGCCATAGACGTTTCAGGTTCCTCACCAATTGGGATTCCTCATTACTTTCACTTTAACCCTTGTGCCTGCCAAATACCCAAGAATTAATTTGTAGCTAAGTTCCAAGGTGATCTGTCAAGCTAAAAACTCTTAGGTGGATCCTGGCTTTTGTGTAGAAAATGTTATGAAATAGAAATGAATTGGTGAAGAAGCAAGGCAGGCTGACAGCATGGCAATAATGCAAACAGAAACGGAAGCAATTTTCTAGCATTGGAAGGGGTGCTGGGTATGGGAGGGAGCAGTTTCAAAGGAGCTAAAGGCTGGCAGCAGGCAGACGGGAGCAGCATGTCCATACTGCAGACCTGCAATAAGAAGTGTGAAGAGACTTCTGTGTATCCCTCCCTCCATGGCCATGGGCCCTCTCAGAACTGCCCCCCCCCAAATCAGTGGAAGCAACAGTGGGACCCAGGATCAGATGCTCTAGGGCATTTTCAAGCAAGACACTAAGGTCCTGAGAGCAGCTGTTTCTCTCTCCTTTGACATGCCCAGGGTGATCTTTCTGTGCCTTTAGTTGAGGAGGATCTGGATGGCTCCTCGGGGCTGCTGTTCCCGTTCTATGACTCTGACACTCACATGCTGTATGTGGTGAGCAAGGTAAGTGCTTTTTCTATGAATTAACATCAACGCCACCAATTCGGTTCCCAACTACACTGCTTTGCCATCGGCTTCAGTGGGGTTACTCCTGATTTACACTTGCTTGAGTGAGGGGAGAATCCTGCCATTCTGCTTTAACTGAAGGTCCCCGATGAAGCAATAAGACACTTATTGGATAATAGACCGATACTAACTGTGAATCAGGTCTTCAGCATTAACTGCAAAATCACGTGTTCCCAGGACATCCCACAGGCTTAGCCAAAGAGGAGCAAAAAGGTAGCAGGAAAAGACTTCACTTGCACTCACTAGACGTGAGGCTGAAAAGATGGGATTAAAAGCCTTTGGGGCTCACTTGTCCAAGTATAGCTCACAAATTGCTGTGCATTGTCTAGTGTGGTGCGCATTTGGGGATCCACATGTCCTCCTGTTTGCTCGTTATATGACAGGCAGAAAAAAGTGCTTTCGTGTGTTGATCTGAAAGTTCTCAAAGTCCTGATGTGTCCAGCTCTTTAATCCTTACCCCATGGCCCCGATCCTGCGCAAACAAGCCTAACACTAACACTAGGCACATGAGCTACAGCCACTGCCTTTGTGGGAGTGAAGTTCGGCAGGGGCAGGGCCCAGGTGAGCAAAGGTCTGTCAGCTTCTGTCCCCTCCTCTTTGCAGGGACTGAGAATCCAAATAGAGAGATGTCTAGCCCCAAACTGAGCCGCACTCCCATGCAGTGGGCAGCCCAGGGCGGAGGTACCGCTGAACACTTAGAATCACAGAATCATAGACATGTAGGGCTGGAAGGGATCTCAAGAATTCATTGAGTCCAGCCCCTGCGCTGAGGCAGGACCAAATATACCTAGGCCATCCCTGACAGGTGTTTGTCGAACGTGTTCTTAAAAACCTCCAATGATGGGGATTCCACAACCTCCCTTGGAAGCCTGTTCCGGAGCTGAACTACCCTGAGAGTTAGAAAGTTTTTCCTAATATCTAACCAAAATCTCCCTTGCTGCAGATTAAGCCCATTACTTCTTGCCCTACCTTCAGTGGACATGGAGATCAATTGATCACTCTTCTTTATAACAGCCCTTAACATGTTTGAAGACTGTTATAGGGTCCTACCTCAGTCTTTTGCAAGACTAAACATGTCCAGTTTCTTTAACCTTTCCTTATAGGTCAGGTTTTCTAAATCTTTGAGCAGTTTTGTTTCTCTCCTCTAGACTCTGGCAACTCACATATTACTCCAGCTGAGGCCTCACCAGTGCTGCATAGAGGGGGGCCGTTACCTCCTGGTGTCTTACATATGACACTCCTGCTAAAATACCCTGGATTAGCCTTTTTCACAACTGCATCACATTGTTGACTCATATTCAATTTGTGATCCACTAAACCCCCTGATCCTTTTCAGCAATAGCCATCATTCACCATCTAGCCAGTTATTCCCCATTTTGCAGTTGTGCTTTTGATTTCCCTTCCTAAGTGTAGTTCTATAAATCAGTGATACACCTTCACCTGGAATACTGGGTTCCATTCTGATAACTCTCTGACGAAAAGGACATAACAGAAATAAAAGGGGTTCAGAGACCAGTGGAGGAAAAATATTAGAGGCCAGGAAAATACTTTTATATGGAAGGAGACTGGAAAGATTGGGATGGTTTAGTTTAGAGAGGAAACAAATACAAGGTGATATGATAGAGCTTTAAAAGAACAATGGATGTTCTAGAGAAGGCAAACCAGGTGACCACCTTGGGCTCCCCCTCTCCTGCAGCAGGGGCTAAGCAATGCCTTTTGTTCTCTCTTGTCGTCTGTAGGGTGATGGGAACATACGATACTATGAGATAAACGCTGATAAGCCATACCTGAACTACCTGATGGAATTCCGCTCCCATCAACCACAGAAAGGAATCGGTGAGTTTGTATCGTGTATTTCTCATCTCACTAGGGGCCCAGTGCCACACCCTGAGGGAATCCAGTGGGAGTACAAGACTGGCCCACAATTCCATAGGTTTTGGTGAGAAGACAGGGGGCCCAGTTCTGCTCTCACTCAGTGTTACACTGTTGTAAATCACAGATCCATAGACTCCTAAACCAGAGGGATTGTAATGACCATCTAATCTGACCCCCTCTCTGTCCCTCCCCCTCTCCTCCCACCCCCAGAGCTCCCAGCTGAACTAGAGTGGATCTTTTAGAAAGAGACACCCAGTCTTGATATGGGTGTCTGCAAGACTGCAAATGCTTGAAAATCCCCCACATCGTTCGGAAACTGCTTCAGTAGCTATTTACCCCGCTGTTAAAATGTGCGTCTTATTCCTAGTTTGAACTCTGCTGACTTTGCTTCCAATCTGGGATCTCCTTGTGCCTTTGCCTGCTACACTAAAGAGCTCTCCAGTATCAGCCAGCTTCTCCTCAAGCAGGGACTTACAGACCGCCCACCACAAATCCAGGTTCCAAGCCAGGGACCCTACAGCACTCAGCCAAGACCTGCTCAGTCCCCAGCCTTGCTGCTCTCTCCCTGGACTGCTTCCTACTTGCCTCCCACAGGCTTTATTCTCCACCCACCTCTCTTCTGGGAATGCCCTTCCCGCTGGGTCAGGCTCACGGGGTCTTACTCTTTCCCTGTTGTAATGGGGTCACCCACCTCTCGCCTGCGCCCCTCAGTCAATGGTTTGTTCAGCGGGTCTTCAGTGACTCAGCCCTCCAGCCAAGTCACACACACTGTCTGTTGGTGGAACAGAACAAACCCTTTCCGGGGTATGCAGTCTTTACCTTCTCCCGGCCCTGGTATGGGGCCATACCCCCAGCAGCCAGCCAGGAGCTCCTTCTTAGCTCCTTGGTCCCTGCATGCACTGAGCTGGCTGTGGTCCTGCTGCTCTTCCAGCCAGGCAGGAACCCAGTACTCTCTCTTCCAGGTCCAGACAGCAACTGACTGACCCTGTCTCTGCGGTCCCTCTGTTGGCTGCTTCCCCTGCAACCACTCTAGGCTGCTTGGAAGACTTTTCTTCTGCTCCTCTCTGGGATGGGGTGTAGCAGGTCCCCCAGGCCTCCAACAGGGGGCCTCTGGGCCTAGTCCACCTTTTCATACCTGGATTCCCTCCTTCCCTCTCTAATGCACAGAGGGTGGCTGTAGCCTTCCTCACTGCAGCCATCTCTGTTGGCAGCTTCCTGGCTTTATACTAGCCCAGCACACACCTGTTCAGCTGAGCTTCATGCTGCAGTCAGGGGTTGCTTCTCCAGGCTAATCCCCTCATGTGGTGTCTATCACAATTGGTCTTTCTCAGCCTCCATAAGCCTTTCAGGGCTGTTGTGGGGTGAACACCCCATCAGAGTTCCACAGGCTAGTAACAAGTTGTGTGAAGAAGTGAATCCTTTTTATTGGTTTGAATTTCCCACTTTTCAATGCCACTGAATGTCCCCTTGTCCTTGTGTTCTGAGACAGAGAAAACAGGAGCTCCCAATCGCATGTCTCTGGGCCAGTCACTATTCTTAGACTTCTGTCATGTCCCTCTCCAAGATAACAAACCCAGTCTGTTCAGTTACTCCTCACAGGGAGTGTTTCCAGGCCCTTGATCATTCACCCTCATTTCTGTGGAGAGAAAGGAAATTCTGCACGCTCAACATTAATTTCTGCGCAAATTCTGCATGCACAGCAGCACAGAAATCCCCCAGGAGTATATAATGGTGCTAACACTTTCCTATCTCTACTGGAAATACTTTGCCTGATGCAACTTAGGAGTGCATCGGCCTTTTTCACAGCTACATCACATTGGTAGCTCATAGTCATCCTGTGATCAACCAATACATGCAGGTCTTCCTCCTCCTCTGTCACTTCCAACTGATATGTCCCCAGCTTATAGCAAAAATTCTTGTTGTTAGTCCCTAAGTGCATGACCTTGCAATATGCACTATTACATTTCATCCTTTTTCTATTACTCCAGTTTTCAGGGTCCTCCAGATCTTCTTTAATGATATTCTGATCCTCCTCCATACTGGGAGTACCTCCCAACTTTGTGTCATTGTGATGGGGTGTACAAACCCCTCACTGAGCAACAAGGGCTTAAGGGCTCATTTTGGGCTCAGCCAGCCCCACCTGTCACACCTGCAGCAAATGCTCCATCTGCTGGAGGAATTAAAAGGCAGCGAATTAGCTCAGTTGAGGAGCAGCGCTGGAAGCAGCCCACAGCTGCAGCAGAGCAGAGCAAAACCGAAAGGCTCTGACCCAGCTGCCCAGAGGGGCCCTCCGTGAGGAAAGGGCGGACGCTCTGTAGAGACAAGCAGAGAGGGAAGTATCCTGTGGCCCTGGACAGTGGCAACCTCCTCCTGCTTTCTTGTGATTTGGATTTTCCCACCAGGCGAAGGCCTTGGACTGAGGTGATCCCAGGTGGGGAGATGAGAGGAAGAGGCCCAGGAAGAACAGCTTTAAGTAGTCTTGGTTGCCAGGTTACTGGTAGCCCAAGGGGCCCTGGGTCGGAGCCCAGTGGAGTGGGAGGGCCTGGGCTCCCCTCCCCACACTCCCCTTGACAGTCCAGGGTTGTGGCTGTGACCACTAGGTCATGCTTCCCAACCAGACCCTGAGTGGAGACAAGTACAGTTTTTATTATCTCACACTCCCTTTATGCCAAGGGCATTAATGAAAATGATAAATAAGTTTGGTCCCTGTTGTGGGGTCACTGCAGTCAGGGTAGCAGACCCCGCTGCCCCTCTCCATGTCTGTGCAGTGGGGTCACTGGCAGCCAAGACAGCCCATCAGCAGGTGCTTGGAGCCTGTCTGCTTCAGAAGGAATCCAGCTCCTCCAGTATCATCTCCCTAGATGAGAATTCCCCCCAGGGTCCCACAGCTGTTTGTCCACTACAAGCCACCTGGAGAAGGGGCTGTACCTGCCCTCTGGTGGGAGGTGCCCGCAGGGGTTGTTTGCTGGTGGAAGGGCACTGTTACAAACCCCACCTGCCATTTCTTCTGCTCTCCCCTCAGGAATCATGCCAAAGAGGGGCCTTGACGTGTCGGCCTGCGAGATCTTCCGGTTCTACAAACTGATCCCAGGCAAAAGCCTGATTGAGCCCGTCTCTATGATTGTTCCTCGCCGGGTAGGTGTGGGTCAGCAGCCCTCTCGCTCACAGCCACTGTGCCTGAGCAGGGCGGGGGAGGCAGGGCTGAGCGGGTTTCCTTTGTAAGCTCTGTGGCCTAGAACCGACCAGAGAAAGGAGCGGACAGGGCGAGGCAGTACCTCATTTATATAGGAACTGTGCATCATTTGGGGACATTGAGGTATAATTGGGGTACAGTTTGTACCCAGGGCTCCTGTTGGGAACCCCTTGGGAAAGGCCTGGACAATGACTGGGCTCGGGGTCTCCCTGGTGCAGAGTGATGGTTGCCAAGGTTGGGTAAGTTGAAAGCCAGGAGTGGGGAAGGAGAGTGCATGCTTCTGGGCTGCTGCACCCATCTGGGGGGTAGGGAGTCTGGGGAGGGTCGTTGCTACCACCCATGCTTTTCTAAAAGAGCTGAGCTGAAAGAAGCGACTGTATTCTGAGGGGAGCAGAGCAGCTGTGGGGAGCTGGTCTCCAGCAGAGCGCTGGTGTTCACAGGCAGAGTGGAGTAGCTGTTCCCGCGTACTAGCAACACCTTGCTGAGAGCAAAGGATCACACCCAAAGGCTGGAGCAGTGCAGCGGTTTGACCAGCTAACAGCACTGTGTGAGGAGCAGCATTACGAAGAGCTGAGCTGATAGGAGGGGATGGCTCATTCGGAGGATGGGTTTGGTTTGGGACTGACGCTCCTGCACATTAGGGTCGTAGTGATAGAAATTGGTAAGTGATAAGTTTATACAAGTTCACCCTGTCATTTCCCTTCCCTTTCTTCAGGCAAGTTTTCCTGTTTAAAACCCTCTGCAAGTGGGGAATAAATTGCCTATCAAAGGCACCGGAGTGCTCTAGATCTACATATAGGCTCCCAGGTTACTGGTTTGGGGCTCGAAGTGGAGTTATTTCAGTTTTAGAAAAAAAGACTTTAAAAGTGCTTCCCCAGCCCTTAATTGCTACCAAGGCCACTGGCAGAGGGGTTGCTCCTTTCTGAGACTGCCTTGGGGCCAAATGCTTGGCTGAGGTAAAGGGGGAATCTGCAGTGAAGTAACAGCCCTGAGCTGATTCTCACCAGCCCAGGGTCTGGCACAGGTTGTTCCCTCCTGACACATCCTTATGGACCCGTGCTTCAGAATGCAGGAACTGTTCTTCTCCTGCCTGGTGGTCACTTGTGTCCCCTCATGTGGGGATGGATTCACTGAAATGAGTGTGAATGGCTTGAGAACTGCCTGGCTGTGAACTTCCTGAAATGCAGCCTCCCCAAGGAGAGTCATTGATAAGAAGGGTGACTTGGAAGGGTGTGATGGCATGACCTTATCAAGCGCCACTCACAGGTACCAGGCTGTCTACACTGCATGTGCAACACAGTCATGCTGTGGTGTAGAAGAAGCTTATAAATGTGTCCAGCCTCAGCCCTGGTGCAATGAGAGGGCAGGTGAGACTGGAACCAGGACCTCCTGTCACTTGCTCTCTGATCTGCTCATGTCATGGCTCCTTGAGCTACTGAGTCTGACAGTGGAAGCTGCAGCACAGTTTATAAACCTATGGCAGCATTGCGCAGGGTGCTGCCATGGGTGAATGCACAAACTCCATTGTGGTGCTGTGGTAGTGCCAGTGAGTCCCTGTCCACCCAAAAGTGCATGTTCCTCAGATGCTGCTCTGTCTAACAGCTACATGTGCTGGGATCCCCGGGGTGCAGCCAGGAAACAGGGTGCTGCTGTGCTCCCTTAACTCTCCAGCCTGGACTATCTCTCACAATGCTTTGCCAGTGACAAGCAGCAAACCCCTCCAGGTGCTGTTATCACTCAGCACAACCGTATGTGGAGCCCCATGCCCAGCTAGATTGCATGAATGCTCCCAGAGCCACTCGTGAATCACACAGAGAAAGGCACCAGCCAATTCCCCCCACCTCCTTAGCCTTGCACCCCAGAGCTGTACCGTCTTGCCCTGCCTGGTTAGAAGCCTGACCAGTGGAGAGGATGTGCACCAGGCTTTGTAAACTGAGTTGAGGTTTCCCAAGCATTTCACACAAAATACACTGTTTTAGGTAAAGTATAAAACAGATTTATTAACTACAGAAATATAAATTTTAAGTGATTACAAGTGGTAGGCATAAAAGATCAGAGAAAGTTACCAAAGAAAATAAAAGATAAACACACAATCTAAATCTTAACCCTTATTACATTAAACACCATTTAGATCAGCATTTTTCTCACCCCAGTGGATGTTACAGTTCTCAATGCACAGGCTTCTCTTAAGCCTGGACCAGTCTCCTCAGATGACCATCGGCTTCTCGGCATTCCTGTTGCTGCCAGCGTAGGTGGGGGAGGAGAAAGGCAAAGGCATACTGCAACTGTTTCCTATTTTATATCCTCAGTCCCTGGGCCAAGAAGACGCTTGCCCAGACGTGTCTTGGTGGACTTTGCTGAGTCACTGGCCTGAGCAATCTCCTGGTGTGGTCTTGTGCAACTGAGTCATAGAGTTGAGCAGTCCCCATTGTGTGGTGCTTGGGCAGCTGTCATTGAGTTGTAAACCCCTTGATTACACCTCCCCTGATGATTAATAGTCATTGAGCACCCTCCTGGGCATGGTTTGCCTTCTTTGTATGTCACTAGCAAACTTACAAAGGTAACAACCATACAGCAAAATCTCATAACTTTATACACACTAATGATATACACATTTGGACAAAAGAACAGGTTTCAGGAGATCATGACCTTTCATATGATACCTTACATGGCATATGTTGTACGAAATATCACAACAATATGTGAATAATGAATATGGGGGTTACAGGGTGCCATTTTGAGGGACAATGCATCAGACTACACCAGCACTTTCAAACCATCCAGCTCCTTCCTGCTTGTGCTTTGTCTTTAATATTCATTTTGGCTGAAATCTTGACCCTACTGAAGTTAATGGGAGCTTTGTCACTAACGCCAATGGTGGCTGGATTCCCCCTTCATATGGTGCTTGCATGAATAAAAGTCTTACTGAAATGAACTAAAAAGTGTCTTGCAAAATTTCCCTCTTCCAATGCAAGTAAGTGTTGAGCAAAGGAGAGGAATGTCTCTGGCTATTTTGTTGTCATCCTCCTCCTAGTAGAAGGGAGCCACGTGGATCTGGTGTCAGGCCTAGTACATTTTCATGGCAAATTTGAAAGTCCTAAACAAAACGGGGCTGTTAGGGATCAGTCATTGTGAAATGCTCCCATCGCTAGTCTTTCATGCTGAACATGCTTCTTCTCAGTAACGTGTTGAAGCTGTCAGTAGCTGGCAGCGGCAGCTGTGATTGTGCTGTCTGTATTTGCAGTCGGAGTCGTACCAGGAAGACATCTACCCAATGACAGCTGGAGCCCAGCCAGCACTCACGGCGCAGGAATGGCTGAACGGAATTAATAAAGGTCAGGCTTGCAGAAAGAGGACAGAGTCAAACATTGATTGGATTGTCTGGCGTATACACAAAATGTCATTAGCTATTTTACCCTTTAGCTACTGGAAAATCTTGGCAGAGTAAAAATTATATCAATAAAAAATCTGTTCCGAGTGGCTCAGAGCGGTCTCTGTTGTGTATTGTCTTTGGAAATAACTCCAACCTTGAGCCTGATTATTTGAACCTACAGATCTCCTGTGTTTTGTTCAGTGCTGATGTGTATGCTCTATATGTGTGCTAACCATTCACCTACTTACATTGTAGGTCCTGTCCTGGTATCTTTGAGACCAGGCTCTGAAATCCTGAATTCTCTGCCACAATTTCCTGAGAGAGAACCATCACTGCGGTACCAGGACAGGACCGAAAGAATGGCAATGAAGGAAATTCAGAAGCAAAGTGAGATCCAAGAAAAGAGAGGCCAGAAAAAAGTGGAGGAAAGATTGCAGGAAACCAGACAAATGCGGCTTTCAAATGGCTTCGACTTATTCGAGTGTCCTCTACCCAAAACCGAGAATGAGGTCTGGCTGTGGGAAAGCATGTGGGCATGGGGGGAGAATTACATACAGCTGGCAAAGCGTGCAAACTGCAGAATGTTTTGTATGGGCATAGATTGAACTGAAAAACAATGCCAAAGGTCTGCAGTGTGGGACTTGGGTGCATAAGCAGAGCTAAAGAAACCCCCCACTTCAGTGCCAGCATGCTGGTCACACAACTA